GTTAGAAACTTCATTTTTTTCTCCGTTGATCATGATATTGTTTATTTGTCCTGTTGTGAGGATTTTCGTTTTCTTCACATTCAGGCATAATCCATGCTGAAGGCTGCAATCTTTGACCTTTATCAGTAAGAACTTCAAGCCGTCTTCATTTTCAGCAAGCAAGATCATTTACAGTAGGGTTTTAATAATTTCTTGTAAATGTGTTAATTATTTGAGCATTTTGAACCTTGGGAGGTACTTGATATCTCTGGGATCTCTTTATAACTTAAGCATTGTTTCGCTTTAACTGTTATGTTCAGGAAAAAATGCAACCTACAATATTAAATCTAAGACATTACATATATATATTCTGAAATTTCACAACTCCATTATTTTCTATTGAGCTGAATTTATTAGGGGTAAGATCCTGAAGAATTTTATTTAGCTGTAAGTACCTGGCTATAAGGCATGCAACCCAAGTAACATGTAACAGTGGTGCTTTGCTGAGCAAAAATATAATTTTAGTGTATTTTGGAAATACAAACTTTGCATTTAAAGCACTACAAAATGAAAATGTAATGACTATAATTTATCTTTACTGATAAATAGTTTACCTCAACTCTACAACTGATTACTGATGATGTTCATACTTAGTTTGGGGTGTGGTAAAATATCACTGGTTATTATAGTAAGGATTCTAGGAAGTAGATTAACATTTAATCAAATGTTAAGTCTTCATTATGTCTGAAAAATCTGATGATCTTCCAGACTCCTTGGGAATATACCAATTGTTGGGGAATGTATTACATCTAAAGGCAATGAAATCCATTAATGGAAAATTACAGTTGCTTGAAAGAGCTTTCAACTAGAAGTTGCTTCCCTATAAATTCTACTCATTGATAGTAGTACTGTGTGCTGAAGCAGTGATTGCACATGCCTGACTGTACTAACGTACAAGATACTATGTATATTAGAAAATATATTCAAGAGAAATTTAGAAAGCATGCAATATAATAAATTTAAATTCAAGTTCTATTCCAAGCTTCATCCCAGAGGATCTTACATACCACATACTTTCTGCTTTAATATCACTGCACTTGATCAATACAGTATATAATAGTTCTCTGCAACCATAAAGCTACTTATTTGTTTACCTGTATTGTCTCTTTGGGTCTTAGGATTCTTTTATAATCACCATACCAATTATTACCAATAATTGATCAGATTTATTCACTGTAAGGGAAAACCATCTATTCAAGCAGTAGGTCAAAAATATTATCTACAATTTGACTAACAGGAGTTTATGCAGATATTCCTTTTAATTTAGGGATAGTCATAGCTCCTTGTGTCTCCTGAGTTGGGTGAAGAATTCTCAAGTGGGGTATGACAAATAGCTCTTTATAAAATTTAAAAATAAAAAATTTTCCCTCTCTTCCTCCACCTACACACACACACACACACACACACACATACACACACCCCTGAGAAAGAATCCTAAATATGTGTTCTAGTTTTACATGTGTGAAGACATTGTGTATTTTAATTATTTCCCCATGCATAGAAGCTGTTTGTCACCCTAATTATACATTATTCTCCCTTAACGACTGTAGGAACAAAATAAATAAATAAGGGAAATCAATGAATTTCACAGATAAAATTTTATATCTCTTGTTCCTCAGATAAATTTTTTCATGAGTTACCATCCATCTAATACCTTCTGGACTCTTTCTGCTCCTTGGGGAAATGGCACAAGACCTTCTTGAATGTTAGATTCTGCACTTGGATCTCTGATTTAGTGGAACAGTGTGTAAAAATCTCTCATAATCAGAACATTCCCTATTGGCTCCACATCTGAAGATCCCCAAGAGTGCTGTTTGTCCCAATGAACATCTGGAATAGATTACATGCAGTTAATTGGCTCCAGGTCGGGCTTGTTACAGACGGTAGCATGCAGTATAACCTATGCAATTCACTTAATCCACCCACTTTGGGTTAAATCACACCTACTTCTTTCCATAATTCCTCCCAGATGCCCTGCACACACCCTCTGAAAGACAGCAAAATGTCAATAGATTAATGGAGAAGATATTGGCAAGACATTTAACCCATAAATTATCTCAATTAAAAGATTAATTCTTTAATTCAAAGGATTGTTGGAAAGAAAAACAAATAATCAGGAGTAGCCGATTGTAAAGAGCGATTGTTTTATAGTTGAAAAATATTTAAAGTTTAAAAAAATCCAGCAGTTGAAGGATTTTTGTTTTGTTTTGTTTCTCCCCCAACTCTTAGCATATGTTTCAGCACGTGTAGGCACTTATCAGAATGTCATAGTAGTAAAGAAAGCAGTGCTTTGATTTTTAACTTATTTAATGATATTAATGAGTTGGGTTACAAGGAACAGTATGACTACTGTTCTTTGAAAACCAAAACATCAATCTTCTTAACTTATGATGTTGGAGGCACAGGGCATGTCTTAGCGATTAATGACCAGTTGGAGGAGTAGATATCTCAATACACAGCCAAGGGCCATTAACCCCAACTGGTCATTAATTCCCAGGAAATGTCCTGCACTGAGGTCATTATTGCTAATAAAATGCACACATGGAAAGTTCCCTCTCTTTTGCCTGTGTACATAAACATACATTGACATTATATGCATTGTTACATATCATGAAAAGAAGTAGTATTTCATATGTCCAGAAGCTCAGAATAACTAAGCCTAATGTGAAATTTAATATACTAAATCTCTACATTCATTTTGCCATTTACTTTTTCGGGAAGTATGAGTAGAAGGGAGAATACATGTTTGTGTGTCAAGGAACAGGGAAGCATTGGTAAATGTGAGTGGAACTAACACGTATGTTATAAACATGTTAAAAAGGTAGTATGAAATGAGGGCATCATTTGAGTCATAATATATTAGGTACCAGAAGACGTGTGAGGCAAATTTAACAGTTGGGTCAAATTCCTCTTTGGTGTCTTCTCTCTTCCATTCCACTGGATTATGCTACACTGTCCCTCCTTTCTCCTCATAGCCATCTAACCAAGTTCAGCATGCTGCCTGCCTTGCTTTTCAGAAATCCTTAACCAAGTATCACTGTGTTCTGGAACTGCCCCTTTTTGTTTGCCGTTCTCCTTTCTCTGTCTTCCATAAAACTATTCTTGTCTTGCTGACACCTATATGATACTCCTTTGAGTTGCCCTCCGTAGCATCACATAAATATTTCTGTTTTAGCAATTATTGTATGATACTTTCATTATTTGTATGTAATCGCTCACTCCTTGTAGACCTCCTTAGAGGTCAGCGTTGAAAGATTTCTTCTGTGGGCTGTTGCTTGGGAAAACTGCAGTAACCTAGTAGGGCAGGAAGAGAAGTTTAAGTCTCCATCAGGAGTTCAAAATCACGTGATTTGACCATAGTGAATAGTACCCAAAGGGTTAGTTACTCTAACCGAAACTATTCAGTCTTAAGGCTAAAACTTGAATCTTGGTTCCCTGCCCAGAAAGTTAGATAGGTAAGAAGACAGGAGTAAAAATGAGAGATTGGCCCATAAAATAAATAATGTCACCTGTGAGTATCGTGCCCCTCAAAATAATCATCTAGATGAAACCAAACGGTAAACATTTACCCTAGACCAAAGATTAGAAGGCCAGGGGGGACAGGGAAGATGGATTAATGGAAACAGAACAACCAAAATGAAAATATCGAGAATGCTGATATATTGTGAAGAATGTAACCAATGTCATTGAACAATATGTATAGAAATTGTTCAATAACCTAATTTCCTGTGTAAACTTTCACCAAAAATACAATAAAATATTTTTTTTAAAAAGAAGTTAATTGTTAGAAAGTAGAGTCTAGTTAAAGTCCAGACCAAATCTGATTTGATCCATCCCTTATTAGCTGTGTGACCTTGGGTAAACTATTTAATTCTGTACCTCAGTTTCCTCATATGGGATATGGGGATAAATAATTACCTACCCCTTACAGTTTTCATTAGAATTAAATGGTTTAATCTATGTAAAGCACTTAAAAAATATCTGGTACATATTTTTGTTATTATCTGCTTTCAAGTCATCCCCATGCACAAAGGGATCAGACCATTTTGATCCGCAGGACTTTCATTGGCTGTTTTTTTTTCAGAAGTAGATCATTAGATCTTTTCTTCCTAATCTGTCTTAATTTGGAAGCTCCACTGAAACCTGTTCAGCATCATAGCAACACGAAAGCTTCCACTGACAGAAGGGTGGTGGCTGCGCTTGACCTGCGTTGGCCAGAATAAAAGTTCAGTAAATATTATTTGTAATTATTAAGATTAGTTTTGAAGTATGTGACTTTTTAATTACTCCACGTCTTAACCAAGGCAGCTTATTTATGGCAACTGAGTTTATAGTCACCTCTTTCCTTCTTGTAAACACTTATTTTTATGGTTTGTTCTATTCAGCAGTACCTTGTGTGGAATACTATAGGTTGCAGGTAAGACGTGTATTGTTCTAGGCCTCATATCTCTGCTGGTGGCTCTGACCGGATCATGTCCAATGACTCCAATTTTTTGTAGACTTATTTTTATGTCTATTAAGTCAGAAACAAAAGAGGAACTCCCTCAGAGTAACAACTTCTGATTGTCTTTGTTTGGGGATCTTTTCCTTGGTGGTGATATTGGGAAAGAGTAGGCTTCTAACCAGTGTTCTTAGCTGACCAAATAATTCATTCTGATACGTTACAGAAAAGGTTGATAACTTTCATTAAACGAACAACTTTAATAATTAAATCAATGTTAATTAACATTAATAGTTAAATTTTTAGTGGTGCACACATTTCTATACCTGGGTATATCCAGTCTCAAGTTTTTTTACTCAGTTCTGAGTCATTTTGCCTTCAGTAGTTTTGTAAGAGCAAAACTAGAGGAGGAGAAATTATTTTTAAAAGTCTACATATATTCCAGAAATTACAATTTAGTAAACCTAGGAAATTCACAAACTACTATGTTAATAGCTCTTTTCTTATTTTTTAGATTGAATTAACACTGAAAGAGAACATTGTTTTCATCATGAATGCCAAGAAAGAAAAAGACCTAAAGTCTAGTAGCCATGATTTTCACCTTTTTCATGTCTTGATGATGTTAAGCATGGCAGTGCTGTTTCTTCCAGTTACTGGAACTTCTAAGCAAAATATTCCACGACTCAAGCTAACCTACAAAGGTAAATAAATATGTAAATATTTTTCAGATTGTTTATTAAGATTTCTAAATGTCTTTTTTTATCTGCTGTACTTCTTTTATTTAGAAATGCATGTTGACTTCAGTGAAGTGTTTACAGTGTTGGCATTTGTTAATAAAAAATATTACTATAGAATACAAAGTCCAATTATTTATTATATTTGTGATGGAAAACAGATACCAAAACTGTTTATGTACGCTTTTCAGCTCCGTATTTATAATGGTCAACTACTGATTAACGTCATTAGGAAATTCAGTCTGCAAGTTGTAATAAGTTTTATATTAAAACAAATAAGCCAGTAAAAATAGGAAAATGTTAACTAATTCCACATAGCTGCTACTAATTATTTCATCCCTAGAGAGGATTTATTTTAATCATACTACGTTATCTTTAAACAATTTTGAACACACAAGGATACCTCTAAAGTCTCAAGTACGTACATGCTTTATTATTTTAAAAAAAAAAGAATGTAAAGGCTTAAAATATAAAGAGATTTTTTAAAAAAACTATTTAGTAAATGCAATTTGCATCTCATATACTTTTTTTTTTTTTTGCCAAACTTAATGCTCAGAGATTTTTTTCTTTTTGTTTTTCTTTTCTATGATGTACCCTTGACTTCACTAATACCTTAAGTAATGAAAGGAATGTAGGGAGAATCAGACTTCTTCACTCTAAACTTGGCAGGTAAAAATTGTGCTGGCAGCTTTACTATTTTTTGATCTTGAAGACAACTTATTTTCAGGTCAAATTAAGTATCAATAATAAAAGCTAATTTGATGGCAAATGTACGTAGAATTAGCACATTATACTCATTAAACTTTCATATGCTGGTATTTGTTTGGAATTTATATCTCAAGTGGTAAAGATTTGAGGGAACTTGAATGATCTTTCAATCTGTAAATTCTTATATGTGTAGAAATCTTTTATAGAAGTGTATTAGCAATTAAGGATAAAATTTTATCTAGGAACATTGATCTCATTGTGGAATGTAATAGATCAATATTGTATCTAAACAAGAATTGAAAGCTGAATTTGAGTATAATCCTGTTCTTATCATGAATTGATCCAATTTTGCATCATTTCTCCAAATTATTCTTGGTTTCAAGTGAACATTAATACCTATGGCAAAGTATAGGCTACAAATAAAAAAGCAAAGTCAATGTATCTATTCCATGTCAGAAGAACTAGTACTGGACTATACTTTTTGCCCTAAACAACTGTAAAACTGGACAAAACTATTTTCAGCCTTTAGGCAACAGGTACCAGGAATGTGATACCTAAGAGAAGGAAACCACCAAGACTTGGTACAAACAGGAGACTTGTGAGCTGAGCAGAGATACTGGAGGTCAAAGAGTACTGTGAAATATAAGGGTTCTGAAGAGCCAGAATGAAAAGACTTCACTCTTCAAAGACCTTGGACACTCAGTTGACACCCACAAAGGTCACCCTTCAAGAGTAGGTCCACTCTATCCCCACAGGATACTTAGTCCTACCCTAATAGACTTAAAAATAAACCTCAAAAGGATCAAGGCTGACCTGCTAGTAAATTAAATATTTCCCAGAACAAATTTTGACCCTTTCTAAAGGAAGGAAAACAAAAACAAGTTTCTTAATAATGAAGCATCCACAATATCCAATGAAAAATTACTGGACATGCAAGAAAACAGGAAAATGTGACAATAATAAAGAAAACATATAGTTAATAGAAAACAATCTTGAGATTATTTAGATGTTAAGTTAGCAGATAAGGAATAAAGAAGATAAAGAAGCTGTCATAAATATGTTCAAGAACTTAAAGGAAAATATTATCAAAATGTATATACAGTCTCAGAAGAGAAGTAAAAACTATAATAAAAAAGCAAAATGGAAATTCTAGAAATGAAAAGTATAATATCTGAAATTAAATATTTACTGGCTGGCTTTATCAACAGGTTAGAGACTGCGGAGAAAGTTTCAGTGAACCTATAGATAGAAGAAAAGGAATTATACAATCTGAAGAACCCTTGTGGGTTTCTTAGGTATCAATTTATAGTCAACTTTGTTAGCCCAAAAGCCTTATCTACAAAGCTCTTTGAGATAATCTCATCTGTTCCTGGTCTTTCTTTGTGACTACTGTGAGACAATACCTTTAAGATTATTAGAAGTGCTATTGTTTAAAGAGAGGGTCTTCAAAGTCACACTTTTTAGATTTTTTTTGGCAGTGATACACTCCTAGGATCAAAATATAATATAGTTATTTATTGCTGCGTAATAAAACAAAAACAAGCAAACAAACAAACCCATTGCCATTGAGTCGATTCTGACTCACAGGGACCCTATAGGACAGAGTAGAACTGCTCCATAGAGCTTCCAAAGAGCGACTGGTAGATTCCAACTGCATACCTTTTGGTTAGCAGCCGTAGCTTGCCATAGGTCTTAACCACTGCACCACCAGGACTCCTGCTGCATAATAAATAGTTTTAAAACTTGATGCCTTAAAAGAACAACAATCATTTTATTATTTCTCACAGTTTCTGTGGGTCAGGAATTCGGGGAGGGCTCAGCTGGGTGTTTCTGGCTTGTTCTGTCTAATGTAGGTATAGACGGATGATGGCTACAGCTGGAGCAATAAAGATCTTGAGCACTGGCTAGCTGGTTTCTCTGTCTCACATAGTCTCAAAAAAACCTGTCACTGTCAAGTTGATTCTGACTCATAGCGACCCTGTAGGACAGAGTAGAACTTCCCCATAGGGTTTCCAAGGAGCAGCTGGTGAATTCAAACTGCAGAACTTTTGATTAGCAACCCAGCTCTTAACCACTGAGCCACCAGGGCTCCCATGTAGTCTCAGGGTCTCTCTAAGTGATCTTTCCACATGGGTAAGGAAGTCGGGGCTTCCTTAAAACCAGCTCAGTGCCTCAAATGTAAGTGTTCTAGCAAGCAAGGTGGAAGCTATATTGCCTTTCTGACCTGGCTTCCAAAGTCATAGAACATTATTTCCAGCATACTTTATTGGCTGGAAAGTCATAAAGGCTCACTCAGTTTCAAGGGGAGAGGGCATACAGTTAACGTCTTGAGAGTAGTGTCAAAGTCACACATAGGGAGAGCTTGTGGCATAGGACATATTGTAGTAGACATCTTTGTAAAATAAAGTCTGCCACAGCTAGCTTCTATACAGTCTTTTTAGTTTTATAAAAGACATCTATGTAAATTAGTGGAGAAAAGAAATGATGTTGGAACAACTTGACATTCATAAAGAAAAAAAATGAACCTCAATCCCTATCCCCCACCATACACAAAAAAAAATTCAAGATGAATTGTAGACCTAAAAGTAAAAGCTAAAATTATAAAGCATCTGGAAGAAAACATGGGAGAATATCTTTGCAACCTGGAAGTAAGCAAAGATTTCTTAAGGACACTGAAAACAATAGCCATAAAATTTTTAAAAGTTATTAGACAAGCAAAATTAAAAAAAAGATCAGCTCATCAAAAGACACTATTAACAAAGGAAATAGGCAAGCCACAAAATTTTCACAAAATACATCTGACAGAAGACTTGAATGAAGAATATATTTATAAAGCTCTCACTACTCAATAATAAGATAAACAACCAAATTTATAAATGGGCAACATACATGAACAGACACTTCTCAAAGGAAGACATACAAATGGCCAACAAGCAAATGAGAAAAATGATAAGACATCATTAGTTATCAGTTATTAGTCATCAAATTGATCACAGTGAAATACGCTTATACATCCACTGAAATAGCTAAAATTAAAAAAAAACTCATAATATCAAATATTGGCAAGTGTATGGAGTAGCACGACCTTGCAAAGATTGTTGGTGGAAGTGTAAAATTGCATAAACACATTAGAAAATTACATTATTAATCTGAAGTTCTAGAAAAGACACAAGTAATCTGATTTAAAAAAAAATCAGAACAGTTGTTACCTTTGTAGGATTGTTGTTGTTAGGTGCCATGGAGTTGATTCCGACTCATAGTGACCCTATGTACAACAGAACGAAACACTGCCTGGTCCTGTGCCGTACTCATGATCTTTGATCATCATGCTTGTAGGACTGTTCCCCTATCCTTATAAGGGTGTAAGATACCCACGTGTATAGATTTGTCATAACTCATCAAATTACACATATAAAATATGCACAGTTGCCTGTATCTAAAATTTACCTTAAAAAAGAAAACCAACATTTTAAAAAATGATTTAAAAAAAAGAATATGGAAAATTTTAAAATAAAAGCACTAAAGAAAGAAAAAAAAAAAGGAAATTCTACCTGGTGTTTCTGTGAATATCACAGAATCATTGCACTGGTAAGTAAGTATGGACAGTGCAAAAACTCACATTTGCGAATAAACTCCAATGGTAGTTATTATGCTCTGAGGATTCATTATGAGTTAAGTGTTGGTCTAAGACTAAGGGTGAATTATCTCATTTCATCCTCAGCACCAGTCCATGAGGTTGGAATTGTCATCCCTTCTTCATATACGAGGATACTAAAGCACTGAGAGTTTGAGCAATTTGCCAAGGATGCGTGACTGAGTTCCTGCCTCAGCCCCTGGCAGCCTAGAACCTGGGCTCCTAACCCCGTCTTTCTAACTGTAGATAAAATTAGTTCTTCATTGAGGCTTTTACCTACAGAGTGAACTTTAAAGTTTAGGGAAGCATCATGCTCATGTTTAACTAAAAATGATTTTATGATTTCCAATTGTCAAAATTAAATGGCATTGAAGAAGAGCACATGCATTGTATAAGATCACTGGATGGCCAAAGGAGACCTACAGTCTTTTATCGGATTTTATGCCCTTCGCTAAACTTGCAAAAAAAAAGTAGGTTGTCACTGTGATAATTTCTTTATAATCAAAATTTCATAGAAAAGTGATTCTAAAACATTTACTCAAATGTGATAAGGTAATGATTAATTTAAGAAAAGCAGCTTATATGAATGTATGTTTTTTGGCCTGGAATAAACGCTATCAGGTTT